ATGATGATGATTATGATGATGATGATGATGACAATGATGATGATGATGATGATGATGATGATGATGGTAAGCGGAAATTTATCAGTGGTAGTGCAGGTCTATGCGGTCCTTCAAAATCTATCCACCATTTTCAGTACCTGTTCTGACTCAACATTGACATTCGCGCTTCGGGATTGTCAAGAATTCCTCCCCTTCATTGCATACTTATTCACTGCAGCGAAGGACGAGTTTGTAGCACTGTTCAATGGCAGAATAACTTGGTTCAGCCGGAACACATGAATTTGATAGAATTGCCCATTCTCGGCGCTTTTCTGAGCCACTGTCTCACCAAAACGAATTACTGAGTTTCACACGACGCAGTTCCGCCTATCGATCATTTTTACCTGCCTTTTGAGCGTCAAATCAGTAACACAGCCGCACAAGTTCACTGGGCTCTTGTTTACGGTCACAGGCATGTGTGCACGGAATGTTTGTGTGTCTGCAGTGGTTCATTTACTTTTACACAAGTGAGTTGAAGATGCTTTTGGTCTTTAGTGTCGTAAGCGTTCACTCACACAGGCATTCAGTACTGGACCTCGTGACGTCAACCACGTCGTTGAATCATAGTGGTGTCATATGCAGGTGATTCGTGATTTACTGACACTGCTGGTCAACAACGTGTAACTGACTTGCGAGGTTCTAACTTGTTGTCAGAAAGGTTGTGTATTGGAATCTCCCAGCGCGGTAGAAACTGCTGTTTGGGTTTTTTCAATCGAATTCGGTTGCAATGCGAAATCTCCAGTGAAACGAATGTTTTTTGGGATATCATCACTCGAAGGGCCAATCAACTCCAGATTACCTGAGCTGAAGCCGCACGGTTGACCGACAGGTGATACTGTATCGTGTCTACTGACGACGTAGTCACGCTGCTGATGGACATGTCGTAGCTGAATGGTAGTATGTAAATCTCACTTAGAACCTAGCTCGTTTGATGTTCGTGGGGTACATATTGCTGTGATTTCCACTCGGGTTAGTACATCCTTACGATGTCCCTGCTACTTCAACATAGACAGTCTAAGACCCTACTTAATCTCCTTTTCCTACGGTTCATTTATTGAGACCGTAGAGAAGCAGCTCGGAGGCTGGAGCACGGTTTGCGTGGAGGCGGGAATAGGGGGATGTAACTGGACCATTCGCAGGTAACCGAACTGTTGCCGAGGGATTTCGGCCTGGTAGTGGTCGTGTTGACCAAATCTTTACACTGCATCAGGTTCTAGAACAACGCCATACGTATAAGCGACCCACGATTCTAGTATTCCTGGATTTCCGAGGCGCATTCGACTCGGTTGATCGGTCTGTTCTTGAGACGCTTGCCCACCAAGGAATGCCCCGGAAGTTTGTAAACAATACGTTTTTTGTATTCTCAGACTTCCGGACGTGTGAGAGTGTGCGGAGAGCTCTCCAAAAGCTTCCGCACACAAAGCGGTGTCCGTCAGGGATGCCCACTCTCTCCATTCCTTTTCAACTTTGTGATCGATGAAATAATGAGACGAACGCTGGAGGGTCTCCAAAACCCTGGTGTTCAAATAGCCAGTGAAGAAAACCTTGTCGATCTGGAATATGCAGACGACATCGTTCTCATGTTCGAAGAGGAGGA